CTCAGCCTCGGGGTCTTTCTGGCCCTGTGGGTCTGCGATACCTCCACCGCTGCTTGCCCTCCCGTGCTTGCCACTGAAAAGTGTTGATAGCAACAGAAGTTGCACTGTTTTCTGAAAGCAAGTTTAATTCAGTCTGGTTCTGCTCCATGAAAGCCCTGGGAAGAGGGAGGGATACCATCAAACCTTGCGTGTGGCCCTCCTCGTGCACAGCCCGTCTCCTTTTGCCTGGTGTAACCAGCTGAGAGCAGGTGAAACCTTGATCTAAGTGCTAAGACATGCACCTTCAGCTGTGTCGAGCAACGCAGGGGCAGGTGCCAAGCAGGAGGTGCTCATCAGGGAAGGGCCAAGACACCTCTCAAACTCCCTTCCCCACCAGGGAATGTGACTGCCAACCATCCTTCTGCCAACAAAACCTCCCCATCTCCATCAAAATCACACCGGCACCACAGACACACCCGTATCTCATTTTCGAGTCTTCTGCGGGAGTTGCAGGTACACAAAGCAGTCAGGAACAGGTCTAGAGCATCCTGGTGGAAGGGCCTTTCCCACAGCCAGGTACTGAGCCCTTCCCTGCTTCCCGATTTCACCTCTGCACAACAGCTAGCACCGATCTGGGGTGCTCACCTGGGAGTTCATCCTGCCCTGTGCAATACTGCTAACGACAAAAGCTAACAGCACAACCTCCGGTGAGGTAAAGAGAACCAGGGCACAGCCCCAAAACATTAGTCACTACAAATACTCCGCTTAACCTGAAGCGGAACACATGCAGGGCACATTTTAATTTACATTTCTTTAATTATGAATGAATGTGGGTTTCTCTGGTGTTTACTCCAGAGCAATAACAATACGTCCAAAATTATAAATACCCCTGCAAACAACAACCACCAGTGGATGCCCACCTCGACCACCGGAGCCAACACAGGCAAGCGGAGATACCTTTGAAAGCCAAGGGCTGACATTTATCATGCACGACAAGGGGAGTTTTCCATATGTGACAGCCTGACATGCTACTGAGCGTGCTCTCAGAAGATGCCCACCTACAGCCTCTCCTTATTTACTTATTCTTTTGCACAACCTATTAATTAAACCAAAGGCTGAAAAACAAGAAGGAGGAATCACACCCAGGAAGGGAACGGTGTAAAGAAGGATTGTGTAGATTCACCAGGACGAACAATAATCATTGCTCTGATCTTGTTTTGCGATTGACTAGTTATAAATACACACCACTGGCAAGGTACCAGGGCAGGGAAAGAGCTTTATGAGAAAGGCACAGAAACAGACCCCAAAAGCAGAGTGCTCACGGCTCTCCAAAAGATAACCCTAAGTGCCCACTGCAAATGGGAGATCATATTTTTCTGCTCACGCTGGACAGAAGGGCAAATGATATCATTAAAGCCCACATCGCATCTCAAAGTCCTTGGAGGGAAGGCAAAGTGGTACTTCATATTTCTATAAAACAATTAGTATTGACAGAACAGACTATAATACAGCACTCGACCCAGAAGAGTAATTAACTATCACGGCAGCTTGCTTACTGGATGCAGATAGGAAGCAAGGAGGCGGCAATTAAAGAGCAAAAAGGCAAGCCAGACACATGGATTTGCTATAACGAGGTATTGACCCGCGAGCCTTCTGCGCAGGTGTCTGACGAGACGTCACGTACCCCGTGTCGAGCACTGGAGCATCCCCAGCGCAGCCGCTGGCACCTCCCTGGGCGCGGCAGGGGAAGGGCGAGAGCCCAGCACCGGTTCGGGAGGGGCTTCCCCACACAGGTTGTGCTCGGCCTCTCTTCCCTTTTCTTTGGTTTCTCTGTACCTTAAATAAGAGGATGGCTGTAAGCCAAGCAGACAGCTCTGGCCACCGATAGCATCAGTGGTGGAAAAGTACCACCGATGCAGGAAAGGCGCCTGGGAAGTTCTCTGCAAGATACCACATACCATCAAATACTTTTCTACCGAAGTTCAAGGCAATTGGTTTCAGCACCCTTCTGATTTGCAAATCTCTGAACAATGCTGAAAACTGAAGCCTCAGGGACGGCTGGGGCTCCCTGCATACTATTTCAGCCTCAAGATGAGTGGCTTTAAACATCTTTGGAGAGAAAATATTTGCATCTGAGTTTGGGGTCCAGAAACAAAGGACATTAGGTGCCCAAACCTTCAGGGTTTCCCCACCCAGAAGAGAGGTACAGTGGATCTATCTCTAAAAAGCTTAGGAAAACTCACCTAGCAAATAGGCTTTTCAATATAAACTTAGCAATAGCCCTCTAAGCCTGCTGCTCTAAGGAGATATTAAGAAGATCGCTGGTGCTCTCTAAGAAAGGAAGGAACCACGGGGGAAGAACACGGCCCCGCATGCCAGCATCACAGCACCAAGAGCACCGGGGTACATACAAGGCACCACACTCCAACGTCTGGGCTAAGGATTTGGGGGGGTTCCCACTCCGTACCCACTGTACCCTTGGGTTGCACTATCCCATCCTTGGGAGGCACCGATTCCTGGCTCTACCTTATTCCCAGCTGCTGGGGAAAGTGTCTTGGCATGGAGGTCCAGGGACCACTCTCGTCTCCTTGCAGGCAGGTGAAGCAGAAGCAAACGGTGTTTTTCTCCTTCAACACGAGCACCTTGCTCCCACCTCTTGTCAGGTCCCCTCTTCCCCTTCTCCCCTCTTTGGCCACGGGAGGTTTCCAGCACCAACTGGTGATGCCCCTCTGCAGCGCAGCTGCCAACACTTGGACAAACAGTCCATGGGACACCATCGCATTTGTACCCACGTGTGAACTTCTGGCGAACAGCTCACAAGTCAGGCCGGAAACATGACGGAGTATGAGAAACAAAACTCTTTCCTGCTGTGAAATTTCAAAACAATTCAGCAGGCTTTTTCATACCGGGAAAAAGCCAGGGCTACGCATGCAGCAAGGAGACAACGTGCAGCAGTTCTGTGCGCAGCTCCAGAGACAGAAAACTATTCTGCAGCGATGCAACTGACTGCTTCAACCTCCTCTGGTGGGAGGTGTCCCTGCCCACAGCAGGGGGGTTGGAACTCGATGACCTTCAAGGTCCCTTCCAGCCTAAACCATTCTAAGACTCTCTGATTCATTCCTGACACCCCTGAGATGAAGGGAGGAACCCACCCTGCAAGGGTTTGACAAGGACGCTGCGCTCTCCTGGGTGCAAGTGCCAAGGCACGGTAATGACGAAGGGCAGCAAAGGAGCCAGAAGACATCAGGCATCGCTGGGCCAGAGCGAGTACCACAATGACTAAGTCATCCTCTCCGGCCTGCCCAAACTCTTACAGCATGGGTAAATGATTATTTGAGAAACAGATCTGGATTTGGAGGCAACACTAGTTTCTGGAAATCAAGTCTCTGAACGAGCTAGGTAAGGAGAGCTGTAGGGTCTGCCGCTAGAGGTTTAGGACAAGAGACCTGCTGGGAGATGGCAGTTTAGCAACCAGACTTTCCAGAAACCACAGCTACAGAGATCTCAGGGTCAAAACCGCAATTCCCACCCGCCGATGCCAAACCTTGCCCAGTGTTGGAGAGCAGTAGGTTCTCCCCTGCCACCTTCTCCTGACAGCAAACCCGAGAGGGCAGTTGGGAGAATGTGACGGGTGGAAATACGGCATTAAGGTTTTGGACACAGGGATTTTAAGGCAGGAATCCTGATGAGCCATTCGTCGTGCTCCCTGTACACCCAGGACACAGCACTCACACCAGTTTGCTATTGCCGTTCTGTGTCATTTCACTCATTTGAGCAACAGCACCCGCTCCCACACTTTCTGGTGCAGGGACCGGCGCCCTGCGCACCAGGGAGGGAATAATGCATCTTCTAAATAATATTACTAAGTCAAATAATTTCATCAGCTCTGGGGAATCCTGGCCAGGTTCTGAAGTCACAGCAGCTGAGGACAGACAGTGCCACAGAGCTGCTGCCATGCAGATGACAAAGTCCTTTAAA